TCCTCCTCCTCCTCCTCCTCCTCCTCCTCCTCCTCCTCCTCCTCCTCCTCCTCTTCTTCTTCTTCTTCTTTCTATTTAAAGAAAAGGAAGGAATGGAGCTGGAGAATTGGCTCAGTGGTTGAGGACACTTGTTGCTCTTGTTGAAGACCTGGGTTCGATTCACTTGGAGACTCACCACCTCCTCGGGCAACAAGCACACAAATGGTGCACAGATACAGCCAAATAAAACAATAAAAACAAATCTTTAAAAGATAGGAAAGGGGGGTTGGAGCGATGGCTCAGAGGTTATGGACACTGTCTGCTCTTGCAGAGGATCCAGGTTCAGTTCCCATCACCCACTTGGTGGCTCACAAACACCTGTAACTGCAGTTCCATGAAAGCTTATATCTTCTGATTTCTGCAGGCTGTGCACAGTTAAAGATACAAGCAGAACGTTCACACACATAAATGAAAATTTTTAAAAGGAGGAAAGGGCTTGATGTTAAATGACTAATTCTAGCACATAGAAGACAGAGACATGAAATTTGCCTTTAGTTTGAGGCCAGAGCAGTCTATCTAGTGGGTTCCAGGGCTGCACAGTGAGACCCAGTCGTCAGTTGCTTTGGCTTATGGCGAGGCAGTGTGGTATTACCTAAGGGCAGGGACAGGGCTGGTTTCTAGGTTCTCAGCCTCTTAACTCAAGAATGAAATAAAAGCTCACAGAGATTGCAAAGTAGCAATGAGTTTTATCCGAAAACGAAACAGCAAAATGTGTCCAAATAATCTGCACGAGTGCAGCAAGCCACACGAGAGGAGATGCCACAGGGCCCGTGTGACCACCGGGAGTTCTTCCTGAGGCTCGTAGTTTGGGTGACTATGTTTACTGATGGATTAGGTCAGACAGTTGCTTTTTGTGCTGTCCCTTCCCATAATGCACAGCCTAATGCAGGAGGTCCCCGTTGCTAGCAAGTTACCTGATCCATTGATACGAGCGGAGTGTGTCTCAGGCTGCTCAAGAGTGTTATCAGAAAGGAGTTATGTATAGCAAAACATAAGGAAGTCCCAGTTTACTAAACCAGTTCCTATGCTCACCTTTCTCAAGGTGGAGGGGCAGAGCTATTCTTACCTTGGTGCTAAAGAAGCAATGATAGGGTCTGGAGAGGTAGCTCAGCAGAGCTGGGCTATGGCACAGCCTTTAATCCCAGCACTAGAGAGGTAGAGGCAGGCCAACCTCTGAGTTCGAGGCCAGCCTGTTCTACAAAGTGAGTTCCAGCATAGCCAATGAAGGCTATACAGAGAAACCCTCTCTTAAAAAAAAAAAAAAAAAAGATGGCTCAGCAACACTGCTCTTCCAGAGGAGCCAGTTTCAATTCTCAGACCCATAATTCTTAGAACCATCTATAACCCTTAGTTCAGGGGATCTAATGCCCTCTTCTGGTTGTAGAGGTCACTAGGCACACATACGGTGCACAGACACACACGCAAGCAAAAACCTATAAAGTAAAGAATGAAATAAATTTAACTTTTAAAAAACAAAGCAAAGGTAGCCAGGCGTGATGGCACACACCTGTAATCCCAGCACTTGGGGAGGCAGAGGCAGGTGGATCTCTATGAGTTGGAGGCCAGTCTGGTCTACAAAGTGAGTCCAGGACTGCAGGCTATAGAGAACCCCTATCTCAAAAAACCAAAACAATCAGCCCCCCCCCCCCCCCACACACACACACAAAAGAGGCAAAGCTAGGTAGAGGCGGGTCCTAATGTCTTCTTCAAGGTCACACTCCACTGATGTCAGTTCACTTCCTTCACTCGGATCTCCCCAGTTTCTACCACCTTCCAGTTGTACCATTGGCTAGCGACCAAATCTTTAATGGTGCTTTTTGGAACATTTAAGATCCAAACATTAACAGTAATTTTGTCTGTCATATTCAAGCCTATGATCCAGGAGGACTTTGCTGTGGTGTCAGGTTGGAGTTGCATCCCCCCCAAAGGTTGATCGAGTGTTTACAGGTGGGGTTACAGGTGGGGTGGGGTAGATGCTGGGCATTGACCATTTGTTCGGATTTTATGTGTATGAATGTCTCAGCTGCATGAATGAATGTGCACCACACGCAGGCCTGATGCCTGTGGAGGTCAGAATTGGGGATCAGATGCCCTGTAATGATTACAAATGGTTTAGAGCTGCCAAATGGGTTCTGGGAACCAAACCTAGGTTTTCTGCAAGAGCAACAAGTGCTTCTAGCCGCAGAGTACTCTCTGTAGCCCCTGGTGCTGGACCTAGGTCATTGTACAGATTACACAAATGCACTGAGCTAAACCCCCAGCCCACAAAGATTTTAAAACATAGTTTTAAACTTAAAATTTGTAAGAATACCTTCTTCTAACACCGGAACCACTTCAGGGTAATTTGTGGGCAAAATGCCTCCTCTTTACTCAGTAATGCTCCCAGAAACCAGGACATTCTGTTATATAGCTATATTACAGTTATCAAAATGAACAAATAGCATTGAGGTGACACTGTGATCAACAAACCTCAGCTAGAGAGTTCCAGTTGTCCCAGTCCTGTGTTTGTGAGGTAGGGAACTCTGGGACTATGTGCTGCTCTCAGTTTAATTGTCATCTCTCCTGTCCCCCAATTCTTTTAAGACACTGTGTAGTCCTGACTGTCCTGGAACTCCCTGTGGGTCCAGGTTGACCCTGAACTCACAGAGTTCCACCTGCCTCTTCCTCCAGAGTGCTGGGATTACAGGTGTGCACCACAAGTCTGGCTTGCTTTCTTTTCTCTCTGTTTAGATTTATTATTAATTATGTGTATACATGTGGGCATATGCACAAGCCTGCAGAGGCCAGAGGTGTAAGATCTCCCTGGGGCCGGAGTTACAGGTATTTGTTTATCAAGCTACACAGCAAAATACCTGAGCAGGTATTATTCTATTTTTAGCCCTCTAGTCTGGCTTCATTCCCAGGTAAACCCCAGAGATACTTGCATTTTATGGCTTTCTTCCTGATGTCTCCTGGACCTCTGCCCATGGCTGAATGGCCTATCTCCTCTCCTAACTCCTCCCCAGGCTGGCAGGAAGTCCAGCCTTCTTCTCTCCCCTGCTCAGCAATTGGCTGTAAGCTGCTTTATTGGCACCTGGGGGACAGCTGGAGAGCAGTGTTTACATAGCATTGAGACAGGAGATTCCCAGAACCAGGATTGCAGCCAGATGGGGACATACAGAAAGCATCATTTGAATTACACAACAGCCTTATATCTATACATCAGGGTGGCATCTGCTGCCTGCTTGCTGTGAAGTTAAGTACACAGACAGCAGGAAGGGAACTGCCCAACTGCATCACTGCTTTTAGCAGTTTCTGACCTTTGCCCCTGGAATGACCCATTCCACTCAACTTAATATCTGGATGAAGGTGGAGGTTAGAAGCAGGATGGCTGCAGCTGGACAGACAACTTTCCCTTTGGATTCCTTTTTTTTTTTTTTAAACCATTTTAGGAAGCTGTCTGGGGTCTTAGGATGTTATTGTATGTGCACAGTTATATGTGGGTACATGTGGGGCTCAGGAGAGCTTTGAGGAGTCTCTCCTACCTTTACATGGGTTTGGGGGAGCAAACTCAGGCTGTTAGGTTTGCTGGCAGTGGGCTATCCCACTGGACCCTGTTGTTGTTTTTGAGACAGGATCTTGCTATGTAGCCCTGGCTGTCTGGGAACTTGACATATAGACCAAGCTAGCCTTGAAGTTATAGCCATACTCCTGCCCCTGCTTCCTGGATGTTGAGATCGCAGCCTGTCATCACGTTCCTCTCTTAGATGCTCAATGCGCACATTTATTCTCTTGGTAAGAACTGACTTGATGCCGACGTTCCAGTGAAAACATTCTGTGACTGATA